TGCTGGAATTAATCAACAATAGAAGGGATATCAAAGATCAAGGAAGACGGAAGTGTACGCGAATGAGTAAAGAGAGAAAAGGGGATGTTTGAAACCCTATTGAGGTGGGGAGATACTTATATTGGGGTGATTTGGACCGCGTAAAATATTATGGGAAGAAACTTTTGACGCAAGATTGACAGTGTGATGTGAACTTTTTTATTTTTGAAAAGTAGAAAAAAAAAAATTAATTTATATGTATAATGAAACGAGGCCTTGAGTAAGGAAAATTTAGGTAGTGATTTGTTTGCGTTTGCGTTTTCATATTTCGCATGTGTTTGGCCCCCATTATTCCTCATTACATTAAATTAAATTTTTTTCTCTCCTACTTTTAACCATACAATCTTCAATAAAATAATATTACACGTAAATCAAAAACTTTTCAACCACTCATTTTTCAAAAAAATACTATTCATCTCATTATAATTTATCTATAATGGGACTCAAACGGGGGCTCATTTTTATTTTTAAAATGATTTTTAGTTTTTTTCGAAAACGGTCCATTTTTCACGTTTTGAGCGTTTTCAACATTTATAATTGAAAACGCTAAAAACGATAAAAAGTTGTTTTGCATTTCAATTATAAATTTTAACTCATTTTCGAAAATGCGTTTTCGAAAATGACAAACCAAATCGTTTTTCGCGTTTTCGAAAACGAAAAACGAAAAATGGTCCGAAAACGACAAACCAACCACAACCTTAGCAACTGTTCGACATTCATTATTTGAAAAATTTATGATTAAGTCCTTGTTTGAGCCCCATTCTTTTTAAAAAAATTCTTTTTTGAATAGTGTATTGATAGAAAATGTGTGGTTAAAAAAATAAAAAAAAGTTATAAATTTGCATATAATATTATTTTATTAAAAAAAGATGTGATTAATGTAGGATAAAATAATGTTGAAAAATGAATTTTGATGGAAAGAATGGAACTCAAACAAGGGAAAAGATAAATTTAAGAAAAAATGTGTTTTTAATGCTAATTGATTGGAGTAAGTTTAGGCGTACATAGTGAAACTGAAAAGATCAAAAGGAAAAGGAATCTCTGTATTCACGCGCCACCACACGCACGGAACACGCATTCGTTTTATGTTTACCAACAATTGGTCATAGCAAATATCATTGGTTCGCTCCACGTCTAGTGTGTGCCGTGCAGTACATGATAAAAATTATCAAACAAGATGAATGTTTGTTTTTTCTTATTTTTCTATTCAATTCAATTCCTATTTGATGTATTGAATAGAAATTGACACGAAATCTTAGAGTGCGTTTGATTGCAAGTTTGAAATTTATATGGAAAGAAAATAAAATTTAGGTAATTAAATTGCCTAGAATTTATTTGTATGAAAATTGTCAATTAAATATGTTTGATTGGTTGAATTTTCAACTTAAAAAATATTATATTTGTCCATTTTTTATTGATCGGTTAATGAGAGAGAGTGGATAAATAAGAGAGAGAAAGAGAGAGTGAATTCCGTGGAAAATAAAATCCTACTCTTCCTAAAGAAAATATTTTTCTTAATTTTGAGGAAAATATGATCACGTATCCAAAAATGGAAAAAATGACAGTCAAACAGCATAAAATTAGGAATTTGGATGGAAAAAACACATTTTTCATGAAAAATATAGGCAATCAAACACACTCTAATCTTAGATCCTTGTTGTTCTCGTTTAATCATGTTCGGATTCATTCACTACACAATTAGTTTCTGTTTGATTTCGCTAAAAATTTGAATTTTTTAAATCAAAATCAATAATTAATTTTAATAACATATTATATGACGTTTATAACTTTTATCAATTTTTTAATTATAATTTTTTTTAGAATCAACCAAAATTTTGATATTTTTAGCAAAATCAATCAGGGGCTAAATTTTTGTTTGGATTAGATTATTAAAGTGAAATTAAGTTTTTGAAAAACATATAGTTAAAAAGTAAGAATGAATAGTTTGTACGACGAATTTCGTTTTAA